TACGGAAGCGATCCCAGACTGGTTGGTGGTAGCGACTGTAGGAGCGGACGTAAACTAACCAGGATGGTACCCAGGCTAGTCCGAGAATACAACTTGAGCAAACCTGTGGCAGTCCATACAGACATATATTAAGGACTCCCTATACCAGAACACATCACTGGCAGCATCCTACGTACACTACCCGCCCACCTTGTGACAGAAAGAATTGTACCAACTCAAACTCACTACAACTCTGAGACGGTAACAGGTTAGCCTGCAGTGGGTACCATCTGGATTTTTGCTCCACAATGCCCGGAAAATTATATAATGTCGTGCACCAGGCAAGTATTAACAAGTGGAAGGCAATTAGTAAAAATAAACGAAAGGTCACCTGCAGAAATCTTCCAAATTCCCCATCTCCTTCATGTCGGCGATGGAGTCCACATGGTCCCATATCTGCTGCCGCATGTCTGGCCCCAGGGACTGCAAGCACTGCGTAGTGCTCTGTTGTCTACTGGTCTCTGACACTGGTGTAAAATACAATATATAGCACACATTAATTACTTTTGGGACAGAAGGTTTTGGGTAGCATTCACCGGGTTTATGGGATTTGTTATTATTGGATGTTTGCAATGTACACTGTTAGGACTGACTAAGCTGAATAAAGTTCACTTCCATTGCTGCACGCCAACTCTTGTGGATGTCTGTCTTCACTTATTTCTGCAAGTCCTCCTCATCTCCTATTCCTACACACACATGCCAGTTTGTAGGTGAATGTGACTAGCTTGCAAGTATCTTAATAATTGCAACTTACCAATGTCGGGCTCTTACTAAAAAGATGAAATAGAAAGAAATTCCCTTTTCTTTTAGTCTTTACAGGATTGATATTTGAAGGAAAAAAGGTACTTTCCCTACCACAGTGGGGGGGAGGGAGGTGCTTTGTCACCAGGTACATGCTGCCTTGTGAATCTGGATAGTTGATGGAATGATACCCCATTACTGAGCAGGCACTGTGAAAGAAAGGAAACAAACATGTGTCTCAACTTAAACAAGAAATTTGAGATGTCAGACTTTCAGGTTGAGATTTGGTTTTTTTAGAATGACACTTGGTATTGGAAATGAATTGTATAATCCAAAATGAATACCCAATTGAATTACATTATACTAGAATAGGTTGTTGCTCATATCTAATATGATTGTATGATGCAACTAATCTCACTGGTATTACACAATGTTTCATACAATAACACAGTTCCTGTTGACCTTATGGTACCACCCAAGGCATACCATCCATTGACTCTTGAGCTATGTTTGATGAATAACAAGCAAATTTTAAACACATAAAAAACATGTTTTAAAGAAATCTTCTTGGTACATAAATGAAACCTTACCCATTTAGACCGCTATGGTCACAATAGTCACATTGCTCCCGGTTTACGATGAAAGTGTACCAGTCCGGACAGCGGTAAGCCAGGAACTGGCAAGCTGAGTTGATGGACTCATTGTAGAATTCGTAAGCCCGACCATGGCTGCAGGCGGTTAGTTGATCTACAGGGAAGTCTAACAAACATCCCAAAATACTAGTGCTGTGTACTGGTTCCCTGGACCGGTTCCAGACTTGTAAAAATGTTAACGTTCAAGTAAACAAAAACCTAAAAGTCAAGAACTGATTCCAGACTTATTACAAAAAAAACATGTCCCTGGATGATACCCCTTGTCTTTCCAAACCATCTAAAATCTTCCATACTAATATATTGCAATCTGTGCTGCAAAATGACCCTAAAGGAACCCTGACAGCTGGCTCACGCTCGGCTTCATGATGCCAGTCAGCATATACACCGAGCAGGCCCCATTGGAAATGTGACTCCAGCTTTAGGAAGAGACTTTAAATTAGAAAAACTCACCTCCACACCCAGGTTGGTTCCATCCTTCGTTTGGGTAGAAGTCAACATGTCCGAGTGGCTTTCGTTTCCCATACCAGTGAGCATCTGTGTGGATGACGTCAACAAATGTGGCGTCACCCTTGTCCAACCTCTTCGTGGGGCGAGAGATCTTGAAAAGGGGCCCTGCTGGGTCTAAGCCTGATGGAATGGCGTAATAACAGCACATAATAAGCCAAAACAGCTAGGCACTAAAGCCAACTTTCAGAAGGCAATGAAATTATTCTGTCCTGTTCAAATAAAGAGTCGGTAGTTCAGCTTCTTTGACAAATATTGCCAAGTGTCATCTTTTTTTCAATATCATCAGTCAGATGACTGACATGGTTTTCAAACTCCAACACATTGACATTGACAAACTCCAACACATGATTCAAACACAAAATTATAATTATCAACAACATGAAAAATACCGGAGATTCGTGCAATCGTGAATCCTGCCGACTGTGTAGTCTTCCCAGCAAACCCCGCAGCATGAGCTCCGAGGCTATGACCGATGATGTGGATCATACTTCCGGGTTGTCCCAGCTGGCGCACAAAGTTTCCAACAGTCTGTAACAATCATAGAAAAAATTATCAAGTTAAAGCAAAAAAGAATGCCAAAGCTTTGTACATGTAGTCCTGTCTTGGCTTGAGGATGGGAGCGTATTGTGTATGCGTGAAGTATTGTATCCAGAACTATGCCTGATCTTTAGTCCTATGCCAAAAGAGGTAGGATTTGATACCATTAGGCACAGTTTAGAGTAAGAACTTTGATTTGCCTCAAGCCTGACTAAATCATACTGTTGGCATAATGTTAACATTGCTGTGAAAGGCAGACAATATATATAATAACATGGACCACATAAGGAATTGATCCACGCACCTGCCCAACCTTCCGGCAGTTCTTCTTTGCCTTGAAATAATTGATTCCACCTAACGGGCTAGCTCCTTTCTGCCAGTCCACTCCAAATACGTTCAGATCCTCCTGTAAAGAGAAATACTAACTTAAAGTCTTATAATCTACTTTAATTTGATTTTGTTTCATCCATATGATGCTATACAACCTCATCATCAAATAGATAATATTTTGGATAAAGAAGAAAATTCAAAGTTCAATTACTTACCATATCAATGAAATTGACATCACTACAGGTAAACCATTGACTATATTAGAACTGATGTTTTAATGATAATCATTGAATAATTGACTGATTTATAATGATAGCCAACTAACCGCTATCAGCAGTTCATTGGCAATGTCCACAATCCACTGAACATCACCCTGACTGTTGAACCCATGGATGATAAACTTGGTTGGGCGGTTACTGCGGAAGGGGGTGCCACTCAGGTCGGGATTTTTGCCCTCCAGAACTATCGGAGTTTCTTTGTTTTGACGCGTGTGGAGATAATACTTGACGGCGACAGGTGTGCTGGAGACAAACCGCCTTTTAAGCACTCGACATTGGGATGATGACAGCTTCCCGCAAATGGTAAAGACATCAGGTTGTTGTTCTGTGTAAATTTGTATCATGATCAGGCCACAACAAGTATAAGTTTTATGGATGACATCATCTATAAATAATCGAATTCTAATTATGAACTCTTGCTCAAGATGTGGCTCTCCTCAAAACACGGGACTTCCATTTTACGTCCTATCAGAGGGACCCCATACAGAAAATGAACGGAAAAAGTCAGAATCGAATTTGTCACCCACACACTGAATCATCCATAATGGCAGCCGAGAAGAGCAAAAATGAAAGTACATCAAATGCTTTTATCAGATGTTGAACAAAGTTGGGAATATTTTCTTACCTGCTAGCGATGCAGAGAGGAAGATCAAAACTGCTGCTAATGACAACATGGTACCACTCCAAGTGCTTTCTTTACTTGCAACAAGTTACCTGCGCTTGAAATTTGTGTAATTTCCAGACTATACAAAACAAACTTTGCTACCTGCAACCCCAAACAATACCAGTGAGCTGATCAAATCAGGTCGTCACATGTCAGTGTGCTCCTTTGTTCTTAGCTCCTCCCCCATGTACTTTGTACCTTGGTACATTGTCCATTAACTGGCAGTTCAATGTCCAAAGGGCAGTGTTATTGTTTTGTTTCACACCACACCACACCACAGGTATGGGAGAGAAATATAATAATCGTTTTTCATTTACTTATAATCCATATTCTATTTTCAGTGGGCAAATATGCTAGTTTTCTTTTACAGCACCCTATTCACATATTAAATGTATGACGAGACAGAGCGACTTCTGTCAGGGAGGCCAACAGTCAGAGATTTCTCAAGTTACTAGTACATCTAACAAATTGTGTACATTCAGATCGAGGTGGTCTATTTTACATTCTGTCATAATCTTAAATTATGAATAAACATTTATTTCTTTGTGGCGATACTGCCGTTAAGTCCACATCTCAAACATCCAACCAACCAACCAACCAACCAACCAAACTATCAACCAACCAACCAACCAACCAACCAACCAACCAACCAACCAACCATTAATATTCATTTGAAATAAATCAATCTTTATTTCAAATCAACATTGAAATAAAAGTAGTAGTACATCACTGAAACACATGATGGGAAATTTACATAATGTGTACAATCATACAATTCATTTAAAACAATCCATGCAACTTTTTAAGGACATAACTTAAGGGTTACATCAAGGGTTACATTTAATTACTAAATCTGAAATGTGACCATTTGATAACATAAACTACAAAAAAATTGTGACTGCTTCCATTTGTACTAATCTCTTTAATAAGTCCATCTTATTTACATAAGTATATGTCATCCTTCAATTCATAATAAATACATCTGCCACAGTGCTATATACATGTACATGTATATGCACAATATTAATAAATATAATACATTACATTTACAGGTTTTGCGCAGGCACAGTATGTTCTACTGATGGCAGGTTCTGGCAGGTCTCAAGTGACCAAGAGAACGTACCAAAGTTTTGCCTCCAAGTTAGTCATCCTCAGCATGCTGGATGACAATCTTTACTTCACACCGAGGAGCAGAACTAGTGCTGGGCTCGTCCAAGTTGCCGCGACGACGTGAAGGTAGTAAGGAGTCGCAGAGGTCCAGGCTTTCATCAAGTTGCCCATGAATGATGCGCAGATTTTCTTGCAGCTTTTCCAGCTTCAGCTCACCTGTGCAAAAGGAAATGTTGGAAGTACTAAGGTCTCAAAGATATGACAGTCATGATCATGGAGGCAACTGTCTACACACAAAAATGAACTAGTAACCCTATGCAGTCATTTCAAGCCTCAATAAATTTCTCTGCATATTGCCAACGTAAGAGCAATCATCATTGTCTCATTTCAATCAATTGTGATCATAATATTAAACACATAGGACCATATCACTGTTTTAGGTAAATGTCATTGCAAACTTATTTGATTTTCACATAGCCCATAAAGACTAATAAGTACTCAGTGACAGGCCATTTCTTCCAACCATAACCTACATGTACATAAAATGTATTACATTGACCTAATCTCCAAGCAGATCATTCGGTGGCAAGGCAGTATCCACTGGCCAGAATGGACACTCCTCTGGCCAATGGATACTGCCTTGCCACCGTATGATCTGCTTGGAGATTAGCATTATAATCACCTGGTTCCTGGACCTCCTTACTGGGAGGGCTGTGCAGACCCAGCTTGGCACAGACGCTGCTCCAAATGTGCTCGGCGAGCTCATGATCGTGGTTGACGTCCACGTCGGCGGAAATGGCGTCGCAGACGATGGACATGAGGCAGTTCATGAGGAGGATGAAGATACAGACCATGAAGGTGGAGAAGAAGACGGGCCCGATGAGAGGGTTAGCCTCCAGCATGTCACCGGCGAAGAACCTGAAAACACATGAAGTCGACAATGAGACAAAGTTCTACTCTCCAAGCAGAGGTTTAGGCTCATGAAGTTCAGCTTATTTTGGGTGTGGTTAAAGGTGTTTTCATTGGGCTCCCTTTTTGTACTCACAAAGTCTGATATCTTCTATCTCAATTGTCAAAACCACTTACCACTCTCTAGCAACCTTTGCCACTCTTGAACCCAAACATACACCTCCCTAAACCAGAGCTTGGCCCAAAACAATACTTCCACCCCAGAAGTTTTCAGAAGTAATTACATTGTACAACATGATCCACAGGCATCAGAAGTTCTATACAGATTATCCAGCTCATAAACACATTTGTAAGTGGACGTAGACTTTACCTTCCAAGCATCATTTCGAAGAGAGCGAGGGTTGTGTGGTACAAGTTGGAGTAAGACTTCAGGTGGCTCCTGAAGATAAGGTAACCTGAAACAGCAACAGATGCATAATCTTATTATTAGCCTTCAACAATCGCTCATCATTTTACATTCTAAAACCAGTGCTGCATATGGAGAACAATGCAATCAAGGATATGATATTGAAGGTGTAGATCTGTATGAGTTATGTCGCTTATTTCCATGGTATACATGTAAACTACTGTGATTCATTCATTCATTCATTCATTCATTCATTCATTCATTCATTCATTCATTCATTCATTCATTCATTCATTCATTCATTCATTCATTCATTCATTCATTCATTCATTTGCTCACTCATTCATTTGCTCACTCATTCATTCATTTTTTTGCTCACTCACTCACTCCCTCACTCACTCAATCAATAAAAACATTCATTCATTCAAGGTTTTTATACCTGCGCTGATGAAAGACATGAATGCGATGGCAGCGACGACTAAGAACGAGAGGAGCTCATCCTTCATGATGCCGGGAAGAGCCAGCAGTTTGCCGATCGTCTGGCTGAAGCGGACAACGCGAAGCAAGGCGAAGGTGTTGATAAACACAACGACGCCCACGGCGTGCGCGAAACACTCACCCCACCATGCAGCAGTCGTCAGGTCCACGAAACGTTCAAACCCCAGCTCACCTATTGGTTCATTCAAAAATTTAAAAAAAAAAGGAATCAAGAGTCAACACTCATGCACAGCATTCAATTCAAATATTTGATACTCATGTAAGGGGTAACATACAACAGAGTATAAAATTTTCCTTCTGGCATTGGTTTCAACAGCAAACGGGGACAAGAAAGGTGCAACATATCAAATTCAACAAACTTAGTGACTCTTAACAACTGATGTCACACATGCAAAAAGTCAGCTATTGTGTCACTGCTATCATTATAGTTAGCTCAGAAGATGACTGAACGGGTCAGGCAAAAAGTCCAATTTTTTAGTTGGAGAACAGTTAAACATTTCCACATGTAATTCATCAACTTTATGCTAAAAAATTAGATAGAAGGCATTGATATTGTAATATGTATAATAGTCAAGCATAGGGCTTACCATTAGTTTGGGCGATCATTGCAAGTGTATCAGCTGCCACGGTGTATCGCTTGATGAAAACAGAGATGACTGTTGCCGTGCCGACGAGGCTTAGGAATCCCAGGGCATTCCAGGCCGAGGCAAAATACTTCCATCCCATGTTTTTCACCAATTTTGCCTCCTTGTACACCATTGCTGAGAAAAGCAGCATGAAAACGACGTGTACGAACAAGTTCATAAAGTCAGCGTCACTTTCGTATTGGAACAGGCCAAACGAAGTGATTGTAGCCGTTGGCGCGAGATTCCCTATTCCGGAGTGATCTAGGACAATATGCACGACGCTGAACAGCTTCAGGCTGGGGTTGTAGAAGTTGATGTCGATCGCCATGGAAACTGTGTACTTGTCCAGAAATTCAGAGTCCTTCAGGGCGCGGAAGAACGACACAGCGGCGTCGCGGTTAAGTGGCAGCTCCAGGGAGTGGTGGTTGGTGCAGTTGAAAGTGTAGTTGGGGTGATTCGGAAGATCTGGAACCTTGAATTGCCAGCAGCTATGGGACATGTTCTGCACAGACAGGCTCCAGCCGAGGCCTGCGCCATTCTTCCATGTAGTGGCACCTGCATTGAAAACAATCAGCATATATAGGGCTTGTTGGTTATGCAGTAGAATACTTAGGAGGATATATTTTGTCCTCATAAGCGGCAAGGATTGGAAGTGGTTGGGTGGATATACAATCGTATGAGTATTAACAACTAATAATCCACTCAATGATTGTTGTCTCAAAGAGTTACTACAGGGAGCAAGAAACATTTACTGGCATTTTGTGTATTGTATATATAGTGGAAGGTGAAGCAAAAATTGATATAAGAGACCTTAAATTCCTGGAACACACTGTTTACCTGATATAAAATCACCGGTAGATGAAAGAAGGGAATTAAAAGAAAATCATCACTACCTGGACGTCGTCTAGCTTGCGTCAAGCGAGGGGGGCCAAAACGGAAGGACTCGGTGTCCTGTGCAAACTGCCGGTCCAAGAACTTCATTTTCCTCCCATTGTACCAGGCGGTGGGGTACAGGGTCGGCAGCAGCACCTCCTCAGTCCACATGTAGAACTGGTCGGGAGTCCTGACCTGCATGCAAAAATAACAAATTTTCATGACACCTGAGTGGCAAGCCTTAGATACTTATGCTAAGTAGTATGTACCAAATAAGCAGTTTTAAAAAATTGTAGAATTCCTCTGGAATTTGTACTATGCAACACACTTGAGTAGTGAGCCTCTGTCTTACATGTACAATGTACGTGCACCTGGAAGCTTTGCATTGGAGATTAAAATGTACTTGCTCCATACAAGTAGACCTGGTATTGAACATTAGGTCATGCAGTATTGCAAATTTATATCAACCTACATGTACTTTGTGCAGATGCAATAACATTACTTATCTCCCAGCAGATCATACAGAGGCAACTTGCAGTATAGCCATTGGGCAGAGGAGTGACCAGTTAGCCAATGGATACTGCCTGGTAAATTTGATACAGTTACAGTCTTTTGCGGCCACCCAAACATCTGCTTGGAGATCAACTAACCCCCCCCCTCCCAGCGATCAACCCCAAACAATATACACTCCTGTCCAAGAAGGAATAACTGATCATAACCCTTGCTTACGTTATCATGATCACGTAGAACAGTGGTGGACAGTGTGCGCGTCTCGTAGAAGACATTTTGGTCATTGTTGGCCTGGGCGATGTAGAAGAGGACGATTCACAAAGACGAACAGCAGAAAAAGCTCCTTGAGTGTCGAGGCCGTACTTCTTACTGAGTTCCCGTTTCTTCCTTGCTCCTTGGCAGTCGGCTTTGGTGGGCGGGCGGATTTTCTTTGGTGCTGCAATACAAAACGTAGTCATGCGACATGTCAGTTGCTACAATGTGTTCTTGAGGTTAATTCTCCTGAAGGTTTTAGTCTGGGGACGTAAAAACTTGAACAGGAAAAATAGTTTACATTGTTATTTCAACAGGATCTCAAACATGTAACTTGTATCTTGGAACATACTGTTTGACCTATACCTCTTCCTTCCTTATGTGCTCAATGAAAAACTGCCAGCAGACGAATTTGAGTCAATTTCACAAAGGCTCAAACAAAAAATTAATGCTCCAACAAGTTACAACTCTAACCTGCAGAGTTCCACAGGTTGAGTTTGAGGTCTTCCTTCCTTAGTGCTGGTGGCTTGATGAGGAGCGACAGGTTACAGACAGTAGACAGCACCACAGCAAGG